ACTCCGACCCGTGTTTCATGTAAAGGGGGGTATGTATCGTAGGACCCGAACATTATTATTATCATTACTATTACCCATTATTATTACTATTACTATTACGATTACTATTCCTATTATTACTACTAATACTATTACTATTACTATTACGATTGCTATTATTATTACTATTACCATTGCTATTATACCTTATTAGGGACTATTTGAATGCAGGGCCTTATTAGGCACTATCTCAGAATAGGGCCTTGTTAGGGACTATGTCAAATTAGGGCGTTATGAGGAATGAAGGCCTTATAAGGGACTGGTATAAATCAGACCCTCATTAGAATTATTGGGAATTGGAACCTTATAAGGGACTATTTGAAAGTAGGGCCTTATTAGGGATTAATTCAAATTAGCGCCTTATGAGGGACTATCTCAAATTAGGGCCTTATTAGGGATTATTTGAAGGTACAACCCTATTAGGGACTATTTCAAAATAGGGCCTTATTAGGGACTATTTCAAAATAGGGCCTTATTAGGCACTATCTCAGAATAGGGCCTTGTTAGGGACTATTTCAAAATAGGGCCTTATTAGGGACTATTTGAGAATAGGACCCTATAAGGGACAATTTCAAATTAAGGTCTTCTTAGTTAGGGACTATTTGAGAATAGGACCTGATGAGGGGCTGTTACAAATTAGGGCCTTTTGAGGGACTATTTCAAATTAGGCCCTAATTAGGGACTGTTTGAAAGTAGGAACTGAAAAGGAACTGTTACAAATTAGGGCCTTATTAGGGACTATTTCAAAATAGGGCCTTATTAGGGACTATCTCAGAATAGGGCCTTATTAGGGACTATTTGAAAGTGGGACCTTATAAGGGACAATTTCAAATTAGGGTCTGATGAGGGACTATTTGAAGGTACCACCCTTTTAGGGACTATTTGAAAATAGGACTCTATAGAGACTATTGCAAATTAGGGCCTTATAAAGGACTTTTGCAAATTAGCGCCGTAACTGTTATAGGGATTATTGCAAATTGGGATCTTATTGGGGATTATTCGAAAGTAAGGCCCTATTAAGGATTATTTCAAATTAGGGCCTTATTAGTGACTATTCCACACTAGAGCCTGGGAATCTGTTTCTGGAATTCGTCTATATACATTCATTTTGAAACCATTCAGACACAATCAAAATCTAGGAAACCAAGGAGATCCCTAATCTGTAAAACGCGTGCTAAACACCCCCCTAATATTCAGAGGATCCGAGTCGCAATTAACTCGAGTCTCAGGCCTTTTAGAATCGACGTGGATGGAGAGCGTCTCCGAACGCACAGGGCTTAAGGGGCTTGGTGCCGGACAGTGGAAGCAGCCCTGTCTGCTTCGCTTCATATGAAGCTCCGACACTGTTCCCCACCTCGGAACGCGCTTTCAAGAGAAGGACGTTTTTAGCTGTAGGGTCTGATGCACTGTCGCGGGGGCGCCATCTCAGCCGCCGCTCGAGCCCGCGTTCCTGTCACAGTGTGGTGTCTCTGGAGTGGTCGAAAACTATTCAACGAAGGCACGTCCGACTAAGTCTCCGACGTGTCCACCTCCTTAGGATCGATTCGCAGGTGAGGCGCTTTGGCCTGCCCACGCTGCGAGTCGGCCAGAGCCTGCTGGAGCATGGCCTGTTCCTGCATTGCAACAGGTGTCGCCCCCAGCATTTGCATTAGTTCTCCTGCCTCCTCCTTGTTGGCTGGTGCCTCTTCTGGGACGACGCTCCCCCAGAAGCACTGAATGAGATCATCGTCCTGCGAAAGATGTGGCAAAACGAGTGGCATCTTGTTTTACTGCGAGGCATCCTCACAGGGGCCAGACTCCGGCGAGTTCGGGAGGTAGGGTTGGACCGCGCCGTCTTCGTCTACGCGAAGGCGAACCCTGTGGTCGAGTGCCTGAACGAGCTACATGTTTGTTCTCGTTGATAAGGTCAAGCCAGGCCTCGCCCGGCTCGGCTTTTGGCGCCGCCTGAAGGATTTGCAGTATCGAGTGGATCGATTCAAGCCGTCTGCCGATTAGGCGTCAGCCTTGGTTGTCTCTTGCCCTTCCCGCGCCGCCTCGAGTCTAAGACACGGCGGTCTGCATTCTCATCGGCTGCTCTGCAAGCTGGCCTTCTTTGTTGCCGGACCACCCAAACCGGCCTGCGCGCACAAGGTATAAGTTCGGTCTCCCAGGCACCTTCCAAGCCCGGCCTGACGCAGCGTCTCGCGATGCTGCTCGCGCTTCTTCTCTCGGTATGCTCGCTGTCGAGCTGCGTCCTGCGCGGGGGCAGGCCGCCGAAACGAAGAAGAGAAACAATCAACTGACAGGCCTTGCCGCGAATGTCTTTCAGCTTTTCGGCTGCCTGCCGTACCAGGACGAGGGAGCATTGGTGTCGCATAATGCGAGGTCTAAGGCCTCCTCGTCGATTTCTTCAATGGTCTTCAAGAAATTTCTTTGTCTTTTGAGGCGGCTTCTCTCATCTTTTTTGGCTTTTTTATGCTCCTGCCAAGTCAAACAGGAAAACTAGTGGGGTGTCTGAGGGTGCTGTCGCGCAGCGCGCCTTCTGCCACTGCAAGGCAGCTTTCAGCTTCTCGTCCTTCTCCTTGGCTGCCTGCTTTTCCTTCTGTTTCTCTTCCTTTGCAGCCTTTGCTTTGGCGCGCGCAGCAGCCTTGTCTTCCTTTTGGTTGGCCTACGTGGTGAGAGGAGACATGTTATTACGCAAATAAAGATGCTACGTCAAAGGCCTCACGAGCAGTCTCTTCATCCTGGAGCTTCGACAGCTCTAGGCCGAGCCAGTAGCTCATGCGGGTTCGCAGTTGCGCCCCGAAGGAGTCGATGTGCACTCCAAGCTCTGCGGCCTCGGCTGTCTGCGCAATGGCAGGCTTCGCGGTAAGAGAGCTGGGCTGAGAGTCAAGCAACTGCTTCAATGGCCGTGCCAACGGTCCAAGGGCCCAAATTTTTCGTTTCGAAGGCGGCCCCCACGACTATGCGGTTGAACCAGTCTGCGCCAGTGCACTGGTAGCGCAAAAGTGAAAAAGAGAGATTGAGAGGCCGGCCTTCCATGGCCCGTAACACTTCACCCCATGCGACTCTGCGCACCGGTGGAGCAGGCATTCCTGGATTGGATGAGAACAGCAGAGTTGAGAGGATGGTCGAAATGTCCCGCCTGCGCCTCCTAGTGCAGGAGGGTAGCCGCGGTTGCGGCCTGACGAGTCACGTTGAGCGCACAGCTCCGGCCGGCATGTAGCAGGCCTGGCCACAGCATGGCGTGCTGCTCGTCCAGGCGCTGAGCTTCAGCGTCTTCGCGTTCTGCACGCTCGTCTTGGTCCTTCGATGAAAAATGGTTTATGCGCATAGGCACACTGGCAAACAGGAAGAAGCAACTCCTCCAGTGGCAGCACCGCCACGTCGCCCGTCTCGCCTGACGAGACAATGTGCGCGAGGCTCTCTCTCACAGGTGGCTCCTGGGCCTGTTCCGTGCTCGTCCTGGTCCAGCTCCAATTCCTCGCCTGCGCAAACAGTGCACATCCGCTGTCACTGGCCGAGGTTGCCGAGCGCAGCGCTTTGGGGCAGCTCGGGCCGGGCTGGAGTCCCTCACGCTACAGAAAGTCTTGTGAGGCTGTAGTGAGTCAGGGCTCCAATCAGGGCTCCGGCTTTTCTTGCGACCGGCATAGGCAACACCTGTTCAAAGAGCGCACCAAGGCCGAAATTTTGCGGCTGAGTGCATGCGTGCCTAGCAAGTGTCCAGCCAGGGCCGCACCTGGCGGAGCTGGGAGTCTGAGTGAGCTTCTGAGCGTGTCTGTTGATGCCAACATCATCTTCTAGGGGAATTATGGTTCTGCGATAATGTGGATTGTTGGCATCGACAGTTTCAGCTTGTCTTTTTACTGAGCAGCCGACACAGCACCACCACGGTCACTCTCACGACTGCCCTGAGGTGCAGATGCCACATGCGCTTCTTTACTTGCTTGTCTATAGCGCTAAAGGCTCAGCTCCGGACATTGCTGTCGACGGCAAGGTCGGAGGCTCTCGGGAGGCTGGTCTTGTGTTGTTGCTGTTCAATACAGCCAAAGCGAGCAGGGCAGCTCATCATGTCTGAGGTCAGCTACAGGCTCGTTCATTGTTCAAAGTTACAGCCCCGGACCCTGACGCCCCCTTGTTTCTGTGATGAGATAAGTTGTCGTCGTCGTCGTGCGCAGGGGCCCAGCCAGCTTCCCGAGGAGGGAGAACATGCCACACTCAGAAATACAAGGTGTGGCAGGGCCACGCCACCTTCCCCCCTCCCCAGAACTCTGCGCAAAAAGAATTGGTAGAAGAAGAAAGCCCCGGCTCGCAGGGTGCGGCCAGGCCGCCCCCCGGCCTCGGCAGGCGAAAGAAGATGAAAGAAGGAAGAAGAAGAATGAAGAACAGAGATCATGTAGCGATTCGACGTTTGAGCACTTCCGTTCCCTCAGTCGAAAAGTTGGTTCCGGAAATGCAAGCCAATCTGCTCGAAAGTGGGTCTCCCGGGATGCAGTCATCCAGGATTCAAAATCTTGTGAATAGCCTTGGAATGTATTTGAGGATGGTAAGTTTGGCTGCTGGATTTGATTCTACACACATTCAAAGTTTTCAGACGTCAGAATTTGTGTGCAAATCGTTTGCATGTAAAATGGCATCATCATCTTCAACGCGGGGCCCGACTCCCTCCAACTTGTCATTCTCAAGAAGCTGCACCATGGAAGTCTTGGCATGGGCGGATATTGCCCGGATTCAAATACTTATCGGAGGGAACCCCGAAAGCTGAATTCTTTGATCGGAATTTGCCTGACTCAATTGGATCGGCCCCTCACCAGCTACCCCGCACCCGTTATTGGTGCTGCAGTGTGTTTGCATATTGAAACGATGATTCGTTCATCTCACGCGTCACCCGCACCAACACTGTCTGCAGGGTGCTCATCAGCCCCAAGGGTCCCTGCAGACGTTGGCTCGGGATCATCCGCGTGAGATGCCTTGGGGTTCATCGAACAGAGGTTCGCGCGCACGCGCGTGCCTTACGGCTATCTCAATTTAGGGCCTTATAAGGACATTAGGGCCTTGTTAGGGACTATTTCAAATCGGGCCCTATTACCCGAACATTAGCGAAGGGTATATGGGGTCCTGTTGATATATGATTAAAATCTTATGACATTCCATGAAATCTCTAATAAGGAACTATTTCGCATTAGGGCCTTATTGAGGCTTATTGTGAATTTGGGACTTAGGACTTGAAAAATGTCGTATAAGGGCCTTGTTAGGAACTATATCGAAGTAGGGCCTTATTAGGGAGTATTCCGAATTATAGAAGACTATTCCAAAATGAGCCTGATTAGGATTATTTCGAATTAGGACCTTAATTGCGACCACTTCAAAGTAGGGCCTTATTAGAGACTACTTCAAATTGGGGCCTTATTAGGGACTATTTCAAACTAGGACTTTATTAGGGACTATTGCAAATTGGAAGCTCATGAGGGACTATTTGAGAGTACGGCCTTATGAAGAAATGTGTCAAATTAAGCCTTATTCGGAACTATTTCCAATTGGGGCCTCATGAGGGACTGTTTCTAATTAAGGCCTTAGAAGGGACCATTTCGATGCATGACCTTATAAGGGACTGTTAGAAATTAGGGCCTTATAAGAGACCATTGCAAATTAGGGCCTTATAAGGGACTGTTACAAATCACGGCCTTAGAAATTATAAGAGATTATTTCAAAGTAAAAGCTTATTCGAAACTACTTCAAATTAGGGCCTTATCAGTAAATTAGAATAAGGGGCTTATAAGGATTATTTCAATTAGAAGCTTATTAGGGACTATTTCAAATTAGGGCCTTAAAAGGGTGTCACAAATAAGTGCTTTATGAGACACCATCTCCAATTAGGGCCTTAAAGGGAACTGTTACACATTAGGGCCTTGCAAGTGACTGTTACAAAATAGCCTGATGAAGGACTATTTCAAATTAGGGCCGTATAGGGGACTGTTACAAATTAGGGCCTTATAAGGGACTATTACAAATTAGGGCCTTATAAGGCACTACTTCAAATTAGGGCCTTATAAGGCACTATTTCGAATTAGTGCCTTATAAGGGATTGTTGCAAATTAATGCCTTGTAAGTGACTAGTTCAAATTAGGGCCTTACAAGGGACTGTTACAAATTAGGGCCTTATAGGGGACTGTTACAAATTAGGGCCTTATCAGCAAATTAGAATAAGGGCCTTATAAGGATTATTTCCAATTAGAAGCTTATTAGGGACTATTTCAAATTAGGGCCTTATAAGGGACTGCTACAAATTAGGGCCTTAAAAGGGTGTCACAAATTAGTGCTTTATGAGGCACTATCTCCAATTAGGGCCTTATAGGGGACTGTTACACATTAGGGCCATATCAGGGACTATTTGAAATTAGGGCCTTGCAAGTGACTGTTACAAATTAGGGCCTTATGAAGGCCTATTTCAAATTAGGGCGGTATAGGGGACTGTTACAAATTAGGGCCTTATCAGGGATCATTTCAAATTAGGGCCTTATCAGGGATTATTTCCAATTAGGGCCTTGTAAGGGACTGTTACACATTACGGCCTTATAAGGCACTATTTCAAATTAGGGCCTTTTAAGGGATTGTTACAAATTAGAGCCTTATCAGGGACTATTTCAGATTAGGCCTTACTAAGCTCTATTTCGAATTGAGCCTTATCAATGAATATTTCAAATTAGCGCCTTATTAGGGACTATTTTGAACTAAAGCCTTTTAGGGACTGCTCAATTCGGGCCTTATGGGGGACTATATCGTATTAGGGCCGTATAGGGGACTATTCCAATATTTGGGGCTATTTCAAAATAGGGCCTTGTCAGAGACTATTCAAGGCTAAGACCATACCGCGCTCTGAGTTGCCCGGTACGCGGTTAGCAAGGAAAATTGTGACAATTGCGCTTACTGTGTCTTTCGCATAGGCTCTAGAAAGATAATAAGGCTCTCTACGCATGCAGAAAGTGTTACTTGGTTGGACCCAAGTCGGCTGGGAACTTTGCCCAGATTTAGTTTCAAGATTCTGCACCGCTAGTTAAGCTAGACCAATTTTTTGCCTGCCCTGCCCCCCCCCTCTCTCCGCCCCTCAAGCGGCCCAGAAAAAAAGGCATCAACAAAATCTTTACTCGCTGGCAAAAGACAATTTTTATTGCGCCATGCAGCTGGATGCTGATGCTCGTCATTCCAACATTGGGCTAAATGAGGGTCTTAAAGGGGATTGTGTCGAAAGACTGCTTCGTTCGAGAAAATTTCTAAACAGGGTCTTACAACGGAATACTTCAAATTAGGGCCATATTATTTCAACATAGGACCTTTCAAGGATAATTCCAAACTAGATCCTCGGTACGGGCTGCAACAAATTGGCGTTATTTGAGCTATCCCAAAAAGTATCCTTAGGCATTGTGAGAGGTCTTCTGCGGTACGTTTTAAATTGGGGTCTTGTGAGGAACGGTCAGAAATTAGCAGGATAAACTTTTTGATGCGGTGTGAGCATTCTATTCTCGCCCTATCTATGCGCAGTCAGGCGAGCAAGAAAACGGGTCTTTATCGGAAAAAGCTCGCCCGCCAAAAAAAATGAATCGGGACGCGCGAACACCCGGGAAACGCCGCAAAAGCCGGGAAACAGCACATTACCGTAAACGACCACAAACCCTTCAGACAAAGACCCAACTACAAAGGGCAAGTCCTACCCTTGCTGAGCATGCTACGTAATCAGAAAAAAACTCACATATCCAATAAATAAGAAAATCAATACAAACATGCCTAATCACAGCTCTGGACATGCGACAGATCAACTACTCCTACTCCGATCTACAATCTCGCTGTCGAGATTGCGAGAGGCAGTCTATGGACGCCCAATTAACTGAATCAAATTTGCACGCGAATTCGGACCCCTGATTGAATGAATTCCTGCCAGGCGTAGATTCTGCACGAAACGGGGGTTTGAGTAAATCGAACCGTTTGTGCACTGGAACCGAAATTTAAGTAAATTGAACCATTTGAGTATACCTGAGGGTTTAAAGCGAATTGCTCCGTTCACGGATCCTAATGAGTTTCATCATTTTCAAAAAGCTCTCTAGACGTGCGTCGATGACGCCGATCCGCCCCCGCCCAAGAAAAGAGTTTAGGAAACTAAACCCTAAAAGGCGGAGCTGGTGAAGGGTGGGAGCCGCCCACACGGCGCGGGAGGGAAAAGGAAAAAAGGTGCGGCCGATAGGCCCCCGTCCGCTGCGGCCACAACGCGCACTCCGAGGCCGACTAGATTCAACCTCAACCTTGTAAGCCCGCCCGGCTTTGGTCTTTGTTTTATTGTCTGTGCAAACCCTAAACCCTAAACCCTAAAGTAAAGCTAGAGAAGCGTTTTCTCATCTCCATAGTCCAAAAACACGTTAGAAATTGGCCCCTGGACCCTGAGCCCTAAGCCCCACACTTTGGGGACCGCAAACCCTAAGTCTAATCCAGTGCACCTTCTACTGGACCTTAGAAAGCCTGCAACCCTAAACCCCATTCCGGGAAACCAAACCCCTAAACTCTAAATCCGGAAGCCTATAGCGAAGTGCAATTCCTAGCATGGTTTTGACAACGCTGAAGTGCATTGTCAATTCCGGGCTTAAGGTTAATGAGGGCTCAGGAGAAAGGGAGTTTAGGGTTTAGGGCTTGGAGTTTGGCTTAGGATGTAGTTTTTTAGATCCAGAGGAAAGGCTGTGAATCTTGGGTCAATCCCCCACCCAGTAATGGGTATGTCAAGGATTATTGACTATTGTAGGTATATTAAGGCCATATTAACTTCCTATAAAGGGCCATGAAATGGCCATTACTGTAGGGGGATCGGCCTAAAGCTCAATCTCTAAACCCCAAATAGTAATTTCGTTTTTTTTCCATTATCCCTAAACTTAAACCCTAAACTGAAGTTGGCAACCTACTGTTACTCGTTATGCTGGGGGCTTGGGATTCTGCGGTTTGAAGCTTTATGCAGCATAACTTTCTGTCTTCAAGCTAGATGACTTTATCCCAAACCCTCAGTCTTCTAATTTTTGGGGGTCCCGAGAGTTTGGATTATAGTGTTTTGGGTCCTATGTTGGGGTCCCCTATTTCGCTATTAATCCTGCTAGCCCCAATGTCACTCAACAAAAATCCTAAAACAGTAATCCTCTCCAGCCCAAGCTCGGCGACACTGAAGCCTACACCCGAAAGCTTACAACCCAGACCTGAACATCATGTGCTTACGCCCTGGCTCCTCCGATTATTTCAAAAGAGGTCAGCCGACGTTTGTCCGCCCTGGAGCAAGCCCTGTTGGAAGTGGCCCCGGCAGACTTGCAGTTCAGTGGTGTAGAGCCAAAGGTTTAGGCTGCACAAAAGCACGATGCCTTTCGTAGGCTTTGCCTGGCTCATATACGGAAGTATTATTCAGGGTTGGATATCGGGGATGCAGGCGTGACATTTTAAACCTGCTGACAGTTTCAGGAATGGACAGTCAAGATTTTCCCTCAGTCTCTACTACCCATCAGTAAGTTGGTTGCAGTGTTGCGTTGTTTGAGGCAGATGGGTTTCTGCCTTGGGCTTATCTAATGCTTTCTGCATGACCTTGTCTCCGATTGTGTACGGCCTTTCCAGATATGCAGAGGCAGCACGAGACTGCTGAACATACGCCCCAGAACTGGATCAATGTTATGGATCCTTTTTTCTTCCTAGTGTAATGTGGGCGAAGAGAAACTGTTGCATAGAGTTTGGCAGCGGGGACAATGTCATCGCCCTTGTATTGCTAGGCGTAGGAGTGGCGTCTGCAGCAGCAGCACCTTGAAACCCTTTGGCTCTCAAGCGTTGACAATTGCAAGCACATGTTAGACGATTAGACGAAAGGCACGTAGAATTTCAGCAGCGTAGATGAATAAAAATGTGGCTGTATGGTGCCACAGCTGCAACTCCGGGAGCAGGGCAAATAGCTCAGCTAGACATCTTTGCTTCTGCCCCCAGTTACCCTGGCTGTGCACCAGATGCCTTGAAGGCAAGAAACCTTTGAAGCAAGTCTTGCACCACTTGAAGCGAATTCTTCAGCTCTTAGCCTTGAAAGCGCATGAATATGCGCAGGAACCCACTTGTGGTCCCAAATCTTTCAGAGACTTTCAAACTGCACTCCTGAAACTTGCAGCGGTGTGAATCTACTAGGTTTGGGGGGGTAATACCTGAAGCTCGCCTGCTTGCATCCATGGCACAATGGCTCTGCCGGGTGCGCTGGAGCAGTTTGTCGGATATAAGATGGTTTCAGACTTGGGATTCGAAGCCGAAGCACTGTTGGCTCCAGAACTTACTGGTGGTCAGCAGGGGACGGGGGAACATATTCTACAGGGATTATATTCCCTTACCCCTTCCTAACCACCAGTAAGCAAAAGCAAATTGAAACCTTTGGAGGTTGAGCCGACTTTACTGGGCTGCTGTTAAGGAACTGTTTTAAAATACTATGACAGAGACTATGACAAGGAGACCCCCCCTCATTTACGATATAATATACATGATGTGGTAACTTAACAAAATCTTTCTGGCTATGATAAGGAGACCAAGCTTTTTACCATGTACCCCATGATGTGGTAACTTAAGGTAGGTTTCCTACGGCCTAAGCCCTAAACCCTAAACCTTCAAAGCAACCCAGATTAAATCCTCGTTTAGGAAGGCTGATACGTACTCAGTTTGGGACCGAAGTTGCAGGAGTGGTTATTGTTACCGTTACTATGATTACTACTGATATTCGTATTGCTATTGTTTCTGTTCCTCCGATTAATATTGTCATTACTATTACTATGATTACGGGTAAAGTTTTACTGGTTATTCAGTTTGGGGAAGAGACGTCGGGCGAAATTCGTACTCGCTGCTCAGCAAGGTTTGTTGTTTTCATTTTTTGTTGGCTTTCCGGTGTGACGTCGACGCTATCCCTCACGGGCCGAAAGGCCCTAAACACTAAACCCCAAGCCCTAAAGTTTAAAGGGCATGACTTCTCCACACGGCCTGGGCTCCTACCAGAAGATTCCACGAACCTTGTGCATATCTTGTCTGCTTAGAGTGTAATCTACAAACATCCGTAAGTTCGCCATATGAGCTATTGTCTAAAATCCTTAAATGGGGTAATATAGGGGATCATTTAGTTAGGAGCTATTAAGGGGGATGCTAGGAGTTTAGACTATGGCTCATATGTGCATTCGAGTAGAGTCTCCGTGTTGCCTTTTCTTTAAAGGCCCGGACAACTTTAAGCTCGAAGCCTAAAGCCCCGAATCTTTGTAGCCCTTGTTATATTGGGGTTATATTGGGATGCTGGAAAATACAATGCAAACTATTTTTAGGGTTTAGCGTTTAGGTAGCTGCCCTTAAACCCCCCAAACCCTGGGCAACTCCAATCAGCAATCTCAAGTGCGGATCCTGAGCTTTGTTCCCAAGGGCCCATACAGCTCTTGAAGGGTTTCCACGGGTCCACTTTTGTAAATTTACTAGGTGTTGGCTTTCGGGTTTTGGGGGCAGGAGGTGCGTTTTGCCACGCACACATGTAGGACTCAAAGAATAAATCAATAAGTTCGGGGTTCATTGTTTTGGGTTGTCCTGCCAAAATTAGCCCCCACCAACTTCAGCAATTAAAGTTCGCATTGTGGGCTGGCTACAACATCTATCATCGACTCTGTTAGACAATCGCCAGGTTAGAGATTCTACCATGCTCGGATAATCTTGCGGCCTCTGTGGGAAGGTGCGCCGTCCTTTGTACCACGCAAAATATCCCTAAATCCCTGAACCCCGAGACCAAAAAACAAAAACCCTAAAACCTTAATCCCGAGACCCTTAAGCCCCCCCCCCTTAAGCCACCCTTAAGCCTTAACATACCAGACCATTGTAAGAGAAGGAGATGCGCAGCAGCTGCAGATCTGCAGATTCAGTCACCAGCGTCATATGAGTCGTATCTTATTTGGGAATACTATGGTACCCAATATAGAGTAAGATTCTATCCTCTTTTGGGGGTATAGTATTTTATATAAGGACTATAATCTTACTGGGTTTAACCACCAAAAAAAGCTACTCATATGCCATGAAGCCCAAGGTCCCAAAACCCTAAGCCCGAATAATGGGGTACTTGGGATTGGGGAATAGTAATTATAGTACAGGTCTTGGGCAAATACATGATTCTTGGGTACTTGGACCCTTAGGATTCCTATAGTAGGTTTCGGGTTCAGGAACTCTGCCTGGTTTAGGGTTTCGGGTTTATGGTTTAGGGTTTAGGGTATAGGGAAGCAATGGTGCAAGTTTGGAATCTATCTCTGAGGGTCCAATCCAAGTACAGCAAGGTAAGGGTTGCAAGTACCCAAACCCACCAGACAATAGCATCGGCCACCAAAAGCAAAAACAGCTGTAGTAAGGAATTCAGTAAGGTAGCAATGTTCCCTGGAGTTCCTTTTGGTATCCCTACCCGTGTCCACCTATCCTACATCCTGAGACCTAAATACTGAGATGCCAAGCTCTAAGCCCTAGATTCCCCAAACAGTCGACCCTTCTACCCTTAAACCTCTATAGTCGAACCCCCTAAAACCTTGACCCTAAACGTATGTAGTCGAAGCCCTGGACCTGCTAGCAGTCCCAAGGTACAGCGCAGCGCGTGCGCTGCAGGCGTCAAGCAGCCGGAGTGCTTCTCCCGAACCAGGCGTTCGTTCCAAACTTATACTGCCCACCCCCAGAACACATGGAACAGCGCAGCCTGGAAAGCCAGGTTAACAGAAAGAGGTGGCTGGGTGTTTAGTACTAGGTGGATAGGATCATTGTGTTGTTTCATGGGGTTTTGGGGGCTGTCTCAAAGTAATGGACCCTTTGCATGGTCCCTCTGGAAGCAATCTAGGTTTCTAGAGGAATACGACTGTTTGAAGTTAGCCCTTCCACCTAATTCTACACATCCTCCAGCCCTTAGATTCTACGAGCTCACATATGAGGCTTTTCTTAAGGGTTCCAAAAAAACAGAATTATATATATATATTTATGTATAATGTGTGTATATATACACACATATACATATACGGTGATGGTGGAAGCCTTTTTTGGTGCCCCTATGGTAAAGAATAAGGGATTTCGCGGTCTTCATACACAGGGACGGCTCCTTTAGGCAACCCGCAGGTAAGGTTGAGGGTTTAGGGTTTAGAAAGGACCGGGTCCGCGGATTGGAGAACCAAGGCTACGCAAGGAATCAACAGGTCCACAACCCTGAGAGGCGAGTAGATCTTTTTGTAGACATCAAGTCTCATAAGGACACTATACGTTGGGTACTGCCCCCCGACCCAGGAGCAGTCTATAATAATAGGGGTCATGCTAAGGGCTATATATGTATATATATATATATACACGTAGATTTTAATTGTCATCCAATTGTTACTGAGTAGGGGCAGTATCCAACCTATGCAATGCATGTGGACCCTGCCGGTCTCTTCAACAATGCTCCAATGTCAAAGTTGCTCGACATTGCCGGTAGTTGTATGTGTTATTTCGAGGGAGAACCGGGCAGCTACACGCTACCGAGCCCCCCCCCCCCTCCGATCCCAAACCCTAAGTCAGAAATCCCCAGACCCTAAGACCTAAACCCCAAATCCAAAATCATCCCAAGCCCCAAGCGCCAAACTCCAAGCCCCAAATCCCAAACCCAAACCCTACATATCCTTTAATACATATCTCCCGCATACCTTGCGTTCTCCTTATGCAGCCCAAACCCCAAAGGCGAAACTCCAAACTCCAACCCCCAAACCCCAAACCCTGAACCCTATGCATCCCTGTATAGCATGTATATATATATATATGTATATATCTCTCTCTCTCTCTCATATACCGTACGTTCCCCTTATAGAACCCAAGCCCTACACCCTAAGCCCTAAACCCTAAACTTTCAAGCCCATATAAAATTATAGACTTACCATTACTTGGGGTACCCAAATTTCCTTAATCTTAATCTTTTGAAACCATAATGACAGCCCCCCTCAAGAATCAGAGCAAAAAGAACACCAAATAGAAAAAAACATAATTGTAATACACCCAAAGCGCAAAACCCTAAACCCTAGCCCCTAAACCCCTACAGCGTAAAATCTAAACCCAAAACCCCCAAACCCTATGCCCAAAACCCCAAAATGAACGTCTCCTGCAGGCTGGGACTCCTTCTCTGGCGTCTTCATGCGGTTGGATAAGTGCCTGAGTCTCATGGAAGCTGGGCACGCTTTAAAGGGGTTCAGGGTGGAGGGTTTTGGGTTTAGGGTTGAGGGTGTAGGGTTTTGGTTTTAGGGTTTAGGGTTTTGGGGCTTTAACGGGGTTTCAAGGGTTATAAAGGGGGATTATACGGGTGTTAAAGGGGTTATAAGGGTTATACAGGGGATTATAAGGGTGTTATAAAGGGGTTATAAAGGTTTTACAGGGGAATTTTCCTTTTTAAATACAAGGGTTATGGAGGGATAAGGATTCCATTTCATGGTGACTGTATCTTAAGTTCGTTAACAGCAAGCTAGCTTCCCTAAACCTTACGTTTAGGTAGGTTCGAGGCTACGAACTTCCGGGTTGGACCCTAAGGTTTGGTCAGCCCTTCGACCGGACAGCAGTACCTGCATAGGATGTATATACACGGATTGTTGATCTTGAGGGTTTAGGGTTTAGGGTTTAAAGATTCTGGGAACGACTCTTTGAGTGGTTGCAGAGGGTCAGATAGCAGCGTACATGGATCGGGAGTTACGTCGTCAGTTTAGGGTGTATTGCCATTATCGGTTTTGCACGCACACGCATCATCATCACCTGATGACTGTACTAATAGTAATGGTTCACCGGCTTGATGATTGTAGCCTGTGCTGAGGTTTACATGGTCATTGGGGTTAGTGGTTTCTGGTTTGGTAGTTTCCCAAACTAGGGGACCCCTATATAGACCCCAGTATATTATAATCCTTATTATCATGACCCTCAAAAAAGGGTTTTGAGAAACCCTAGTCCCTAACCTCTATTCCCAAAACCCTATATACCCCCATCTAACCCCTGTATAACCCCTTTAGAGAGCCCCATTTATCATCGGTACCCTCGGGATTCTAGAGTACTACACTCCTGCGATTCTTCCTAGTCAGATGAGTGTTGGCCGACATCACTGGGGCCTTCTGTCGTCATACGAGCCATAGTCTAAACTCCTTAAAGGGGATTATAAAGGGATTATATAAGGTTTGGGGTTGAGGGTCTAGGGTTTGGGCCATGTATTTTTTTTCCAAGGTTTGGCTCCGCCCTGGTTTGGCTCCCCTGGTCCTCTGGTCCCCTGGTCCTCTGGTTCCTGGTGTTTTGGTCCCCTGGTCCTCTGGTCCCCTGGTCCTCTGGTCCCCTGGTTCTCTGGTTCCTGGTGCTTTGGTCCCCTGGTC